GGGTGTAAGCCAAGTACATAGACGACAGTCCATTTGGATGACTTAGTAAACCAGAGCTATGAAACATTATAAGTGGTATGACGTGTCCAGTGTTGCTTTCTTGCTTGGCTGTGACGAATTCAGAGCCAACAAATGCCCCACAGAATTACGACCGAGTTTGTGAGCGGAGTAGAAAAACTCGGTCGTAATTTTTTTTTCCTTCTACAATGCCCGAGAAAGGATTCTAGGTGTATGTTGCAGACCATGGGGCCAGTTGACTATGGCCACTAACCAGATAACTCCTTTGTATCCATGTATGTTTGTAAATATGTCTGTCTGTCTGTCTGTCTGTATGTATGTATGAATGAATGTAATGTTATGTAATGTGATGTAATGTTATGTCACATTAAGTCGTGTAATGTTATGTTATGTTACATCATGTATGTCTGTATGTATGTATGTATGTATGTATGTGATGTAATGTTTTTCACACTAAGTCATATAATGTTATGTTATGTTACATCATGTATGTCTGTATGTATGTATGTATGTATGTATGTATGTATGTGCGTATCTGCGTATGTGTGTATGTGTGTATGTATGTATGTATGTATGTATGTATGTATGTATGTATGTATGTATGTATGTATGTATGTATGTATGTATGTATGTATGTATGTATGTATGTATGTATGTATGTATGTATGTATGTATGTATGTATGTATGTATGTATGTTGTATGTATGTTGTATGTATGTATGTATGTATGTATGTATGTATGTATGTATGTATGTATGTATGTATGTATGTATGTATGTATGTATGTATGTATGTATGTATGTATGTATGTATGATAGATATATAGATAGAGAGATAGATAGATAGATAAATAGATATATAGATATATATATATATAGATAGATGGATAGATAGATAGATAGATAGATAGAGAGATAGAGAGATAGAAGGATATAGATAGATAGATAGATAAATAAACAAATAGATGGATAGATAGATAGACAGATAGAAGCATCGATCGATAAATAGATAGATCGATAGCTAAATAGATCGATAAAAAGATAGATAGATAGATAGATAGATAGATAGATAGATAGATCGGTGCCTAGATCGCTTACCTCCCGGCCCCCTAGCCTTGCTCCTCGCTCACCTCGCTTGCCACACTCCCTCGCTAATCCCTTGCTCGCTCCCTGGGCTCCGGACAGGTAAGTACATAGTCAGAGAAAAAGAAAGAAAGAGATGCGGACCAGGGGGGAATCGAATGGGGGGGGGCCCCCCCCCCCTAAGTCTCCGTTCATGACTCTCGGCTCTCAATTTCCGGGAAAGGACCACCCACCTCCCCCAGTACTAAACTAGTACTGGCTTTTGACTTGCTGGCCCCAAGTACGTCCATGTCAGCTATGTTGGGCCTACATATCTTGGAATCATCTTGCAAGGGCCTGGTCCAGGCCTGGGTGCCTGCCTGTTCTTATGCCCGCCGGGCGTAAGCGCAGGCGGGGCTTTGGCAGCGCAAGTTTGGCAGGGTAAAGGCTGTTTTTTCATCATTTTAGGCCCAAAACCTGTTCGATGAAGGGCCTGCCTGTTCTTATGCCCGGCGGGCATAAGCGCAGGCGGGTGAAAAGGAGACATTTCATCCACAGGGTTGTTTTGCCGTGGATTCCCATGAGAAAGGGAAATTTCATCCATGGAATGGAGCCAGTTTGCAATGAAATGGCCAATTTGAAATGAAATGGAGCCAGTCTGGGGTAACTGGGGGGTGTAAGCCAAGTACATAGACGACAGTCCATTTGGATGACTTAGTAAACCAGAGCTATGAAACATTATAAGTGGTATGACGTGTCCAGTGTTGCTTTCTTGCTTGGCTGTGACGAATTCAGAGCCAACAAATGCCCCACAGAATTACGACCGAGTTTGTGAGCGGAGTAGAAAAACTCGGTCGTAATTTTTTTTTCCTTCTACAATGCCCGAGAAAGGATTCTAGGTGTATGTTGCAGACCATGGGGCCAGTTGACTATGGCCACTAACCAGATAACTCCTTTGTATCCATGTATGTTTGTAAATATGTCTGTCTGTCTGTCTGTCTGTATGTATGTATGAATGAATGTAATGTTATGTAATGTGATGTAATGTTATGTCACATTAAGTCGTGTAATGTTATGTTATGTTACATCATGTATGTCTGTATGTATGTATGTATGTATGTATGTGATGTAATGTTTTTCACACTAAGTCATATAATGTTATGTTATGTTACATCATGTATGTCTGTATGTATGTATGTATGTATGTATGTATGTATGTGCGTATCTGCGTATGTGTGTATGTGTGTATGTATGTATGTATGTATGTATGTATGTATGTATGTATGTATGTATGTATGTATGTATGTATGTATGTATGTATGTATGTATGTATGTATGTATGTATGTATGTATGTATGTATGTATGTATGTATGTATGTATGTATGTTGTATGTATGTTGTATGTATGTATGTATGTATGTATGTATGTATGTATGTATGTATGTATGTATGTATGTATGTATGTATGTATGTATGTATGTATGTATGTATGTATGTATGTATGATAGATATATAGATAGAGAGATAGATAGATAGATAAATAGATATATAGATATATATATATATAGATAGATGGATAGATAGATAGATAGATAGATAGAGAGATAGAGAGATAGAAGGATATAGATAGATAGATAGATAAATAAACAAATAGATGGATAGATAGATAGACAGATAGAAGCATCGATCGATAAATAGATAGATCGATAGCTAAATAGATCGATAAAAAGATAGATAGATAGATAGATAGATAGATAGATAGATAGATCGATAGGTAGATAGATAGATACATAGAAGGATAGATTGATAAATAGATACATAGATAGACAACTAAATAGATAGATACATGGATAGATAGATGGATAAGGAGGTAAGTACATAGTCAGAGAAAAAGAAAGAAAGAGATGCGGACCAGGGGGGAATCGAATGGGGGGGGGCCCCCCCCCTAAGTCTCCGTTCGTGACTCTCGGCTCTCAATTTCCGGGAAAGGAGCACCCACCTCCCCCAGTACTAAACTAGTACTAAAGTACATAGAACTCAGGTAGCCTAGGCTACCTTTCGTGATATATTGTTGGGTCACCAGAAGTATCATCAGTATCATGAGCAAATCCAAGTTGTGTGTGAGGCTGTGATTCAGGCCGTCGTGATGGTTTCTGCCGGTGGTTCCAACGGCCTCGCGATGTCTGTCAGGGCATCCAGGGGTCTCCGTCAAAAAGTGTCGCCCAAAGCTTGCAGCTTTCAGAAGATTGTTAAAGGCGGGCGCGTCCTGAAAAAGGCTCCAGCTGGATGTGAGGCAACAAGATTTTGAAGCAAACATAGATGGATGGCAACTTATGCAAATTACACCACCGTAGGCCCCAAGTTTGACAGTGGGTGGATTCAATAAGTGCTTAGAGGAACAGGGTCGAGTCAAACACATGAACTAGCAGCGGCGGGAATCGTGAAAATGCCCGCAATGCGTTCCGGAAATCATTTCACCTTTATTTTGTTCGACTTCCCTAGCTCTGTCGCAACACTAGATACCGAAAAACAAAGGGAAACAAGGAGGAAGACAAGCTGGGAGACAAACTGGGAAACAAGGGAGACAAGGCCTCGGGAAGACGGACACACCATCCAACGAAGGGAAAAAAAGGAAGACAAACTGGGAGACAAGCTTGGGGACACAGGAAACAAGGCTTCGGGAAGGCGGACACATCATCCAACAAAGGGAAATAAGAAAGGAGACAAGCACACCATCCAACAAAGGGAATCAAGAACAGATTTGGCACAAGCTCGGAGACAAGCGAGACAAGTTGGGGGACAAGTTGGGAGAAGGGAAACAAGGCCTCGGGAAGGTGGACACACCATCCAACAAAGAGAAACAAGAAGGGAGAGAAGACCTCAGGAAGGCGGACACACCATCGAATAAAGCGAAACAAGAAAGAAGACAAGCTGAAGACAAGGGAGACAAGCCCTCGGGAAGGCGGACACACCATCCAACAAATAAAAACAAGGAAGACAAGCTGGGAGAGCTGGGAGAAGGGAGACAAAGCCTTGGGAAGGCCGAAACACCATCCAACAAAGGGAATTGAGAAGCGAGAGAAGCTGGGAGAAAAGGGGAGACAAGACCTCGGGAACACACCATCCAACAAAGGGAACCAAGAAGGGAGCCAAGGGCTCGGGAAAACGGACACACCATCCAACAAAGGGAAACAAGAAGGCGGACACACCATCCAACAAGGGGAAACAAGAAGGGAAGCAATGGGAGACAAGGGGAAACAAGACCCTCGGGAACGTGGACACACCATCCAACAAAGGGAAACAAGAAAGAAGACGAGCTGGGAGACAAGCTTGGAAACAAGGGAGACAAGCCCTTGGCAAGGCAGACACACCATCCAACAAATAAAAACAAGAAGGAAGACAAGCTGGGAGAGCTGGGAGTAGGAAAATTACACCACTGTAGACCCAAAAAAGTGGGTGGATTCGAGTTTTGAGGAGCAGGGCCAAACATATGAAATAGCTGCGACAGGAACCATGAAAATGTCTGCAATTAGTGCCGGAAACCACTTCACGTGTATTTTTTTCGGCTTCGCTTGCTTTGTTGCAACGCTAGATGAAGGAAACATCCGATGGGGGTGAAAGTATTTGGATCTAAACATTGGAGGATGAAAGTGAAAGATGACATCATTCTCAATCCCGGAGCTCAGTGAAAGTATGCGCGATTCTCGGGGGAGACAAGCTGGGAGACAAGCTGGGCGACAAGGGAGACAAGGCCTCGAAAAGGCGGCCACCCAACCAAGGGAAGCAAGAAGGAAGACAATCAGGGAGAGAAGCCGGGAGACAAGCTGGGAGACAAGCTGGGCGACAAGGGAGACAAGGCCTCGAAAAGGTGGCCACCCAACCAAGGGAAGCAAGAAGGAAGACAATCAGGGAGACAAGCCGGGAGACAAGCTGGGAGACAAGCTGGGAGACAAGGAAGACAAGGCCTCGGGAAGGCGGACACGCCATCCAACAAAGGGAAACAAGAAAAAAGACTGACAAGCTGAACTGGGGGACAAGCGCGGGAAACAAGCTGGGAGACAAGCTGGGAGACAAGCTTGGAGACAAGGGGTACAAAGCCTCGGGAAGGCGGACACACCATCCAACAAAGGAAAACAAAAAGGGAGACGACGGGAGACAAGGGGAGACAAGCGGAGCCAAGACCTCCGGAAGGTGGACACACCATCCAACGAAGGGGAAACAATGGGAGACAAGTGGGATCCTCGGGAAGGCAAACGCACCGTCCAACAAAGGGAAACAAGAAGGGGTGCAATGGGAGACAAGGGGAGACAAGACCCTTGGGAAGCCGGACACACCATCCAAGAAAGGGACCCGAGAAGGGGTACAATGGGAGACAAGGGGGAGACAAGACCCTCGGGAAGGCTGACACACCATCCAACAAAGGGAAACAAGAAGGGGTACAATGGGAGACAAGGGGAGACAAGACCCTTGGGAAGCCGGACACACCATCCAAGAAAGGGACCCGAGAAGGGGTACAATGGGAGACAAGGTGAGAAGACACGCCTTGGTCACATCTCGCGTTCCCCCAAACCGCCGCCCCTCCTCCTGCTCCTCGCCTGTGTCGAAGGCGGACCCGGTCCGTCGCCATGGCTCGACACCATCCCCACCAAGGGAAACAAGAAGGGTCGACAATGGGAAAGACAAGGTGAGACAAGACCCTTGGTGTAAGCCGGAGTCACAACCGTCCAACAAGTGAAACAATGCGCCGTGTGTTCTCCTTCAACAGCTCCGACACTCATTTTGGGTAAACAATTTGGGAAGGCCTGCAACAAAGGCCAGTAACTGACCACGCATCGTCTACCCTCCCCTCGCGTCAATCAGAGCGGCGCTCTGTAGAAACTCAGGCCGGACTCACACCATCCAACAAAGGGAAACAAGAAGGGGTACAATGGGAGACAAGGGGAGACAAGACCCTTGGGAAGCCGGACACACCGTCCAACAAAGGGAAACAAGAAGGGGTACAATTGGGAAACAAAGGGACGCAAGACCCTCGAAAAAGGCGGACGCACCATCCAACAAAGGGACCCAAGAAGGGGTACAATGGGAGACAAGGGGGAGACAAGACCCTCGGGAAGGCTGACACACCATCCAACAAAGGGAAACAAGAAGGGGTACAATGGGAGACAAGGGGAGACAAGACCCTTGGGAAGCCGGACACACCATCCAAGAAAGGGACCCGAGAAGGGGTACAATGGGAGACAAGGGGGAGACAAGACCCTCGGGAAGGCGGACACACCATCCAACAAAGGGGTACAATGGGAGACAAGGGGAGACAAGACCCTTGGGAAGCCGGACACACCGTCCAACAAAGGGAAACAAGAAGGGGTACAATTGGGAAACAAAGGGACGCAAGACCCTCGAAAAAGGCGGACGCACCATCCAACAAAGGGATTCAAGAAGGGGTACAATGGGAGACAAGGGGAGACAAGACCCTTGGGAAGCCGGACACACCGTCCAACAAAGGGAAACAAGAAGGGGTACAATTGGGAAACAAAGGGACGCAAGACCCTCGAAAAAGGCGGACGCACCATCCAACAAAGGGACCCAAGAAGGGGTACAATGGGAGACAAGGGGAGACAAGACCCTTGGGAAGCCGGACACACCATTCAACACCAAGGCGGACACCTTAAGAAAGCATTAATAACCCCTAACAGTACACTGTTTGTGGGAAAAACACGGATTATAAATGAGCCATATCTCATATGTTGGATATCTCTCTCCATCTATTTTCTACATGTGTCGACCTCTGGCTCTCATCATATGCCAGAGACCTCTGGCTCCATCCACCAGCCAGGCCTCACAAAGGGCTGCGTCCAGACAACTGGAAACTGCGTCAGCCAGCTGGTCCTTGATGGGTCTCAGCGACTCCTGGAGATGAACCAAGCGACCAAGCTCCCAGATTTGCAAGCTGCTGTTGCCAACATCATTGGGTTGACAATGTTGACACAAAAGTTGCAATGTACATGCAGAATACGGATTCCAATTTGTATGCATGCCCAAAAAACATATTCGGAATATAAAAAAACACTAAGTGTACATCTTCAGCGTTCGTGTTTCTATATCTATACATGTGCATATATATTTATATATATGGGTATATATGCAAATTGTAGAAACGGGATAAAAGCCGGGTTAAACCACAATCCCAATACACCTGCTACGCACTATTTCTTGAGCCAATGCAACACAATCTATAAGGTGAAAAGTATGTATACATGCATAAAGACTGTGCAACAACACCCCCCGTGCAGTGTAGTTACCGCCCGGGTAGTGAAGCTGCAAATTAGGCTATGTACAGTCTAGTTAGGGATGCCATTAGTTAACATAAACAGAAAACACAACAACAAACCCAAACCCGACCGTCGCCTAACCTTTCGAAGTCTTTCGTACTTTCACCTCAGCGTTGCACGAAGTTGACAAACAAGATCAATAGCGATAGCAATCCATTCAATCTAACGTCACGTTGTGCGAAAGAAGGATGCAGTGCAAGTCAATTCGGCCGAATGCATTCAGTTTCATTTTGGCTCTACCGGGCTTGTGGTCGAACATGCAAACGTGTTGAAGTGTGGCCCATTACAAAGGCCAGCGTTTCCACGCGGCATCAAAAGTTCTTGTGGACGCCCGGGAGCATGCCGAAGCAAACAAAATGAATTAAAGCAAAATGCTGAATTCGGTTTCGATGTGAACCCGCAGGGAAGCTTTCAGAAATGCTTCAAAGATGCCTTAACTTCGCAAGGCAAGAGCTTCCGCTCTGCGGTTCATGCAACTACCAGCCGTGTGCTATGCAAGAAGGAATCATGGCAAGAATAAGATGAGTGCCAAATGCCTGCTTCAAATTATATGCATTCGAAGCGTTAATGAAACTTTTGTGAACTTGACTGAGTTGGCAAAAATTCCGACTTAGCACACTAGTGTTGGAAATGATCGTGGAATCGCTCACCCACGCGTGCAAAAATGAAGCTAGTCGCCTAACCGAATTAAATCCGAAAAGGCAACAGCTTCCGCTGTGCGACACCTCATTTTGAGAGAAAACTCCCCCGCCTCAGATGAAGATAAATCCACCAGGCGAGAGGTTCCCCTCCGCGGTGCCTCAGCGATAGCCCGACCAACGTCGATCCCTGTATTGGTGGCCTTGATTTCGACGGCGCCAATCTTCCCACTCCTGGTCAGTCCACTGATTGTAGTAGTCATTCCATTCCTGCTGACTGTAGCCATGAGTGGGCCCCTGATGAGAACCATAGCCAGGACGCGAGGACCTGGTAACATCCGGGTTCTGCTGCCTTGTAGCAGGTAGGGGTCGGCTTCCGCCTTCCTTGTCCTTTGCCTCCGTGAGGGGGCGCAAGATGTCCTCGACATAGCTGAGAATGTCGGCATACACATCCTGCTTGGACAACGCAAGGGATTGGAACGTCGTGTTGGCGACGCTCAAAACCTCAAAACGCTCGGCCACCGGGATCAAGGCATAGGCGGCCGCGAACTGGTTGGCTCTGTAAAAGCGGTTCTTGTACCAGATGAGGACATGATCATCCACAATGATCGTCTTCATCTGTTCCTCTTCGTATGCGACCATGCACATACGCGCTTTATACTGCCGAATCTTTCCAGTTCGGATCTCCTCTCGCGTGCGCTTGATGGAGGGAAGCACCACATTGCCCAGAACTGTAATCCAATGCATACACCGAGGTGTAAGGTCTTGGACCGCACAATTAAAGGCGTAATGGGCGTCCGTTCCCAGACGCTGTAGCAAAGTCAGTCCAGCTTTTCTCGCCTGCTTCATGTATGAGCGGGCGTGATTTTTGAGGACTGCCGCAGCAGATCTGATCTGCTTGGCACCTTGGGTGGTGCCTGCTACATCGTCGTTGCCCAGAAGATCCAATGTCAGCTCGAAGCCCAGCTTCTCAGCCAACTCTTCCAGGCGGAACACCTGACACGCACGGCGCATGTCGGACATTGTCGCCAACGACAAGCCGCATGCAAGGCAAACCAACATCCCCTCAGGAAAAATCTTCCTGCACCGGGGGCATGTCAACTCCGGCATTGCCAGCATTGATACATACCGCCAGCGCGTGAGGTTCCCCTCCGCGGATGGGTCAAATGCCTCCTGATCGAAGCGATCAGAACGGCGTTCCCGCCCGTTGTCAGGGGCGATGTCGAAGCCAGCAGCTGTTGCTGTCGGCTTGCGTGCCACACAGAGGAGATTGGTGAAGTTGAGCGGCCTTTGCTTGAACTTGGGCAGCAACTCATCGACGACAGGGTATGGTGTCGGAACTTCCTTGTAAATGAGCGGACGTCGCAGAGTGATGACATCCTTCCACTGATCGTACTCATTCACGAACATGTTCTTCAACACCTCCAGGTCCGAAATCTCGTACCTCTCAAGTTCGTCATAGTTGGGAGTGCCCTTCCAAGCCTCGTTCTCTTGCCAAGTGAGAGCGTTCTCGGAGGCCTTCTGCCGAAGGTACTTCTTCACACCGTTGTAGCCATGGTTCGCCCAAAGGTATTGCGACTTCTCGCAGTCGAATGCGTAGATGAGGCAATGATTGGGCACCCAGTCCTCAGTGATGAGTGCACCGGCCAAGGTTTCCACCAGGCGAAGACCATAGTGCAGAGCACAATCAGTGTCGATCGCGATGCACAGCGGTCTGTTCGTCCTGACGCCAGGATCCTTGCCTTCGATTTCCCAAGGCGCATGGCGGGTCATATACGCATGACCCTTGCATGAAGTGGCCCCTGGAAAAATCCCCGTGCAAATGATCTGCTGGAGGGAGTCCCATGAAGTGTAATGGTAAATAACCTTAAACTCCTCTGAGACCTCGGCTTCCGCCAGGTGAGGATAAATGGGAACCCTGGGGTAGAATCCCTTCTTCAAATCCTCGACCGTGAACTGGTAGTCAAGCGAGATGATTTGCTTGACCAATGGAGCCGTTCCCACCTTGTCAATGAGCGACTGGTCATGGCCTTGGCAGGCCTTCACGTGGGTGATGCGGTATGGCATGTCCATGGTTGTCAGTTCCCCGACAATTCCAGCCTGAATGCGGCACATGAACCTGTCCTGAGTTCGAAGAATCAGGTACAAGTCCTGTCGCGAAAGCTGAGCACGATGCCGCTTTCGGAGGTACGCGTACATGGACTCAAAGTTCAAGTATAGCTCCTCATCAAATTCAGGAGGAATATGGCGATGATGTGCCTCGAGGAATTTGTGATCATATCCACGGAGCAGCCCGGTCACCCTCTTTGAAAATTTGAAATCATCATGACTGAGTCTTCCAAGGTCCCTCAGGCCTGGCAGGTCTGTACACCGAACGGTGAATTCCCTGCGCTCGCCCGTTCCCGGGGAGAAAAAGTACCACTTGGGATATCCATGTGGTCGCAAGGGCGGTTCAGCCGGAGGCTGAGGTCCACCCGTTCCCGGGGGAGGAGCACTTGCCATAGGCGGCTCCTTCTTGGCCATCTTCGGGGCAGGCTCCGACGAAGACGTAGCTGCAGGCGCCGATGACTTCTGCGGAGGTGCCCTCGGTGAAGTTGTTGTCAACGTTGCAGGCGGTGCCTTAAAAGGCAAAGCTTTGGGCATTGGATGGTCCGCAGCTTCCGCTGGGAGTGCAGGTGGCTCCGGCTTGGGGGATCCAGTTGCACTCTTCGGAGTCGGTGGCGGACTGGGCTTTGGGGACGCCATGGGAGACGTTCCCGTCGCCGTTGAAACCTTTGGGAGCCGCGGAGCAGGCTTGGGCTGAATCATGGTAGCCTGATCCCTCATCTTTGGTTTGATGAATTGGCTGACAGTGTCCCCGATCACCTGTGCGATGCCGCTCGAAGATGATGCCGCTTCGGATGAGGAAGCCGCCTTCGACTTGGCCTTCGACATGATCTGGACAGTGGCAGCAGGGTCACCCGCGCGAAGTTTCTCCTCGGCGGTCTTGGGCTCCTCAAAGATCTCCCGTTCCATCTGACGATGCTTCTCCTCATCCGTCAAGTCAAAGCGACGAATGATGACTGCACCCTCTTCGGTCTGCTGCATGGATTCCTGCCGAAGTTCAAGCTTGGCAGGGTCACGCGTGACGTCGGTGTCCAAGATGTTCACTACGCCAGAACCATCCAATCTGAAGTCCACAGCATGGATCTTATTCATCAGATGGGAGCGCAGCTTCCGCTGGCTAAACATTGATGCTGAGCCGCCGACGATGGGTTCTCTGAAGACAATCTCCTCGTCAGCATCCGGCTCGTCAATGTCACGCTCGTCGGAAACACCCGGCAACCGATCCAAAAAGGGCTTGAGGATGGCGTCGATGAGCTCACCATCCATCTCCGGCTCTTTGACCTCATGCGGTTCAAAGTGCTCGGGTTCCCCCCGCAGTGCAGCATCCACGGACTCCAAAAGCTGCCAGTTTGATGAGGCCACAGTGGCATCATCCTGCACCGTAGGAGCCTGTGCGACTTGTGCACGTGCGGGGTCAACTTCATTGGGAAGCCGTTGCCCTTTGGGTCGGGTCTCCTTCACATAGATTTCCCAACCGTCCACGTCCATGGAGACCAACACTTCTTCCATCTCTTCCCATTGAGGGTTGTTTTCAGGTTGAGGGTTGGCCAGCGATTCCTCGCGGCGCTTCTTCATCTCAGCCATCTCAATCAATGGCTTGCACGACCGAAGTCGAAAAAGATGATAGCCGAGAGCGCCAGCTTCGGAATAGAAGCGAATGCACTGGAGACGGTTGTGTTCCGAATTCTCCATGTGCTGGCCGTCGTATCGTGTAGTGCACTTGATAAGCGACGTGGCATCGAGGACGCAGAGCCCACGTTTCCTCAAAGCCTCAGCTTCGCGAATCATTTGACGGTCAAAATCGGGGTGCAACCCATACCCCCTGCCGTACCATGGCATGATGAGGACGATGTTCCCAACGTCGGCACGTGTCGTCAGCTTAACGAGGTCGTTCAAAGCGGAGAAATGGGTATTGACCCTTTCCTCCATGAGATCGTTTGCTGCGTCACGGCGCTTTTGG